GATTTTGTTGTTGGATTCGTCTAGTACCAGTAACAAGATGTGCGTACAATATATTCGGGAAACTGCGCGACTGTCGTAATTATTTCGAAAAAGGGCATCTTCTCGGACGACCAAGACCATGACACGTTTCTGTAAGGTGATTGTTCCATGCGCCCAATGCTTAAAATTTGTTGCCGACCGGTCGATTGCGGTCGAAAAGCAGTGAAGCGTTGAAATATTTTGTCTTCACCTTCATTCGCGGATTCACGTTGTTTCTTACGACGTGTAAGTGGCATGTACAAGCTGTTTCAAAAGTATATGTCACGGCCACTACGCATAGTGATTCTACACGTATCATTCGATGGGGAAGGATGCAAAAAATCAGCCTGTACATTTGAAATTCTTTAACATGTTGCATCCGGTAAGTGGAAAATAAACTCAACAACATTTCCTACACGTCTGCCTGTCGAATTCGTCGAGGACTTGCAAATGCTTTCGAAAAGAACGCTTAAAGTGAGCCGAATGTGTGTCAGACAACGAATCGGTTCGAGGACGTTCGAGTATCTTATAGTTTTACTTTCTACGGCTGATGGTCGAGGCGTGGAGACTAAAAGCGTAAGCGAGATAAAAATTCAAACCACGAAATAGGAGCCGAAATAGCCGACTGAAATACCATTGGTTCGCAACAGCGAATGTCGGAATCGTTTCAATGTCCTACGTGTTATCCACATCGTAGTATGGAAATGACTGTTTGTTGATATTCATTTGTCGATATTTTGTGAACCGAGTAGTAAAGAGGGGGGAACTGGTTTCAAGAAATCTGGAAATTAGCTCGTCTCCTTTTCACGTGCATGTGGGTGCACGTCTCCGACTAATACGGAGGAACAGTATCGCGCAGTTCCGAATGTATCGGGACGATGGAATTATTGGCTGTACAGCCTGAAGAGATACCATTGAGCGCTTTATGCAACTCTGAGGAGGTGGATCTTAACAAGTGTCACCGGTTTCAGTATGGTGAACCCGTTAGTGAGTCATACCGAAGGGATCGGAGAATGGAAAGTATCGGTTGAAAGGAAAATTTCCTTTTCTTTATGAAATTCCGCCTGAAAGGGAATATTTCGCTATAAATCATATTTCGCATTCGTTTAGATGAATTATCTGTTTCCTGGTGAATATTGCACGCGTGAAACGAGTTGTCTTTCAGTCTCTTTCGAGACGCAGTGGAATCAAATTGATTCTATCTACAAAGATGGAGTGATTCAAAGTGATTTATTAAGCGAATCGTTTCCTAGATACACTACCCTAAGCTAACGTTATCTGTGAACGCTTCAACTCCACGCCCCGTACTCGGAGCTTCGCTTCTGATGAAAACTTGGTGATTCGTGAATATTTGTCTGTATTAGATTTGTATTACGCAGAAAACGCGCGAAAAGTGCGCGCAGTTATTCGACAGGCGTTTCAGTTTTTACGGTACTCTTGCGAGGTCGCGCGCATCGCGCATACCCCGACTGGATTTTTCATCCCCGTTGTAGCGTATGGCATGGTGGGTAAAAGTCGCCTTTAAAACGTCCACCGGAATCGAGTCCAGCATGTGTTCAGGTATATACATAACTGGAATGCATCTCGCTTCACCTATGATCTCGCACCGTTACCTAGAAATAGGTGAGCCATCGGTCGATGGTAGACGGTCAGTGAGTGGCGAGAGCTCGCGCTCGCGCTCTTTCGTCGACAGGCCAGTGGAGCAAATAACAGATATTTGACAATTCTCCTCGCGGGAAAGAAAGAGGGGAAAAAAGGAAGCGCGGAGGGAGAAATCCGCTAAAGAGGAAGAGATGAAAGCGCGACAGGAAGCTGGCACGACGGGAAGCGAGTGTTTCCGGTGCGCGAGGCGCGACGGCATTCTGACCCATCTATTTCTGGAGGAAACGACGGGGGCGGCCGTACGCTCCTAGTGGGGAGAAGAGAGTTTTTCGGCATACGACGCCGCGTATGAATGAAAAGTTAAGAGGGAAGTCCGTTAGGCGGTGCACTGTCTGGCTTCGCTCTGGCTTCGCTCTGGCTTCGTTCTGGCTCGCTGCATTCTCTCAAAGGAGACGTGGGTGAGTGGGTGCTGGTGCTGCCCTTCTACTCTTTGTAATTTGATGCTGTTTAATCGTTAGCTCGCTCCAATCGCGTTGCGCGTTGCTGCACGATTTCGAAATTTGTCAGTAAAAACATATTATTTTTGGATATCTTGATGAAATACTCTATTCGAAGAAAAAACTACGTGTAAAACTATTCATTGTCAACTGTGTACAATTTGATTGCAGCATTTCTCTCCCTTAGTCGTTGTTTTCATTTCATCTGTTTCGACTAAACAATGTTACAGCACCAATGTAATATAGTGTACATGCTTATTATAGTTTAGCGAATAGGTGCAAGATTTTCCGATGACATCGGATACGCCGTGTTAAATGTTTCTGCGAGTCCTTCCTTGTACAAAACGAATGCGATCGTTTTCACGCGAGCTCCCGTGCACGCTCCGTCCCGGAAAAGTGCACGGCACTTCGCCTTCGCCGTGGCATGTGGTATATGTGATATGCACTTATACGGCCGACTCGAGCTACACGTGGGCACGCTATGAGCACTTTTTTTCCTGTCTCCGCACACCCTGCTCTCTCTTCTCCAGTCCAAGAAGGGTCGGTCAGTGCTGTTCACGTAACGGGTGACACTCGACAGAGACGTGCATTGCTCGAAACGATCGTTCGAAATATAATACTTTTCGGAATCTATTGGTTACTCTCTACCTTCTCGGAACCCTTTTAGTTTGCATTTCGCAGGAATGCATTCGCCGAGTTCCAAAGTGTAACAGACTCGATCGAAGCGTCGCTCTCGCGCTTAGTTTCCAAGATTATCGCGAAAAACTTTCACCACTACTACGTTGACTTCCACGCACGCGTGTACGCACGAACGCGTCCGCGAGATGACCACAAGCATACCCGTACGGTTGTTGCTTCGGCATTTGACCTTCTCGAATTTCACGCAGGTAGGCAAGTACTTGCATTCTTTCACAAAACTTCCAGTCCAGGAATTCTAAGACTTGTTCGGAATATCAATCTCTACCGACATTGGCCAGTCTTGTGGAAACGGACGATGCTGGCCGCTTACTCTACTATGAGCTTATTCTACTATAGTTAGATAATTCCCTTGTAATAAAACACTTTGTTTCATCGCACCCCCCACCACTGAATAACGCCAGTTATTATTATGTTAGACTTAAGTGAACGAAAGATTCAAGTACTCTAACCCGAAATGTTTGTTGGTACTGTTTGATAATATTTCTGATAGTTATACCGTGATCGGTAATAAGAACGTGTAATGTTTCGCGGATAAGTATACTCGGCTGAGACGGTTAATTATCAATTTTATCCTGCGTGTTGGAATATGGCACTCTGCAAGTGATTTGCATGCCTACGATTGCTACACTCTCAGAGATCCCTATGGGAAAGCGATAGGTCGTTTGCGCGACGGGTTCAACCTACCAAGTACCTAGCTGGATGTAAAATGAACCTGAGAACAGTACACGCATGATCGACCGCAAAGGCGTACGCGTGGTAGAGATATAATGTTGGCGTGAGTAGGAGAGACCTCGCCTCTCTGTCGTTCGTAGAGGGATATTGCGGCAGGAAACGTTGCTAAACGACCCTGGAATGTTGGGAAAGTGATCGTTCGATGATCCGTACTTTTACTGAACTTCAAGCCTCTCCCTGATCATCCGATTCTGAGATTCAGCTAGTACTCGGCTTTCTGTACGATCATTCGCGAGGATTAGCTTTCTCAGCGCGTATTTCCTCTCGCCAGTTTCCAGTCTTTTGTTCGTTGAGACGTTTTCGTAGAATATTTCGGGCACTTGGATGGGCAATTGATGCTGTGTACCTAGCATTCTCAACTGATCTGCGATTGCTTGGTTGTGCAGAGTAATGCTACTATCCTTATACGGGTCGCATCTTCTAGTGCTTAATAATGTGCGCTTGAACCATTGCGCACCCTACGGCTTCTAGTATTTGTAATAATGTTGCACCTCCTTCATTAAATATGCAGGCAGTTATTGTTATGAATGGACGTTACGTTACGAAACCACTGGGTAGAATCTTGAACAGATTTGATAAATTAGCTGATCGTAATTTCATTACTGTTTTGCGTAAAACTACCCACGCATTTTCCTAGTAATTTCTCTTTGCTAGGGTCCTTGTGAATTGGTTCTACTGTTTTCGGAATGTGCGTAGGTAGAGAGCCTCGTAGTTGTGTTTGAATAAAGCCAAAGCACCTTGTCGGGCGCATGATGAGTCAGTTCCAGTTGGACGCTTATCGTGATACGAATTTCCTTCGGTTGATGTGCAATTGTCGCATGTTGCAGAAATGGTTATCGATGGATACGGTACCGAATAAACGGTATACAAATGATTTGTAACTTTGTAACGATGTAAAGAAACTTTTATGGTTACCGATAAAGGTATCTCTGATATCTCAGCAGCGGACAATGCATTTCGAATATAGGTTGGATGGGACGGCCTTTCTCTTGTACCGCAGCTACTCTGCTGTATCTGCTTGAAATGCTCGAAACGTACTTTTGGACCCGTACAGCTCCGTATAACTTGCACAGATTGTAATGAGTTTCACTTGATACTGTCGGGAAATATTCTCAAGGTAATATGCTCGAAGAAAACGTCGAAACCCGAAACATTGTGTTTTCTTTGAATAGTTGAAACAGGATTCGATAATGACAGATACACGTATCCTTCGTTAACAAATATATCAACTTATCACAGTAAACGAATATCTAGAATAAACACTAATAATATATATTCATGTATGGACATTTAAATTTCTCGACCGTTAGGAAAGCATTAGCAAGAAAATCAATTTAAATGAACGAAAGAGTGATGCGTTTCGCTTTCATTCGCTTTTGTTTACTTTTATTTACTTTTATTTACTTTTTTGTCAAGCCATTCAGTTTTCTAACCAAGACCATTCTTCCGTAGGTTATCGGAATGCGTCTGTTCAAACGTCAGTCCTCTGACACCAGTCCACAGCTGGTTTCGGCAACGCCGTTATCACAGGATGGGGTTACGCCTTTGGTAGTCATTGATCAAAATTCCGAAAGAACGAGGAGAAAAATTCAAAGCGAGAACGACGAATCGGAACGAACTTCCATTAAAGAAAATGCTGGCGATCCTCAGAAATCTTCTTCTTCTTCTTCTTCTTCCTCTTCATCCCAGACGTGCATTTCGAATCGCAAAGGTAATTGTACGAAAATATATACATCTAACATACGATACGATGAACTCGAGTATTATTCATCTATACAGGATGATTTAAGAATACATGTCACCCTACGAGAATCTATGTAAATGAATTTACAATAAAAATGTCTGCTTGATTGTGCCATAAGATTTAGATTAGTGTACATTTTCGTTTCGTAGGAATTTCAACATGGGGAAGGAAAGTGGGTCGAAGATGGGATCAGCTAAAGAGATCGGATAGCTCGGAGTTGCTCTCGGTTTCGGGCCGAAGAAGACGCTGGAGCCCGAATCGGAGAAGTTGCGGCAACGTGATGGATGAGAAAGAAAATGTAAATATATATGCGTCTGTTATACCTGTGCTTTCGTTTGCAACAAGTTTTCGTTCTAGGGTGCGAGCGGACCGTCCGAATTGCTAAAACCAAAGAGAATTTCCAGAGTGGAATCCCTGCGAAACCTGTTCAGGAGTAGCGAGCGGAGTAACAACTTGATAGGCGGTGATGTATCAACGAGGAACGTGACAATTCAAGAGGAAGATGTTGCTTGCATCAGTCATTACCCAATGGAAAAAGCTTTGAGCGAGGGTGCGATAAAGAACGCGGCAAATGCCTTCCAGGCAAGCTCGAACGATAGTCAACTGGACCGCGGTACGCTCCTTTACGAGAAGAAGAAGCAACTTGGTCGTAGCATACAGGATCTCCAGGAACAGCAACGCGTTTTGGATTACATTTTGAAGAATCAAGGTATATTGAAAACACAGGAAGGCTCGACATTGGCAAAGGAAACATTGGACAAAGTTAGACGAAGCGCCAGTCCGAAGCGGGCAAGCAAGTCAACATCGGACGGCAATAAAAACAGCGTGTCGACGCAGACGAAGGAGTTCCTTAACGCTCAACTGAATAACATTAAGAAGAACTTGTTTAGTGCGCGAACAAGTACCAGCGAATACGATAGGTGAGCATTTATGTCTGTCGGAAAGAGAGCATCTCTTAATAATTTATGTCAGATTTTCATATATATTTCTATTGCGAGCTAATTGTCACCGAATAATTTGTTCTGCGTTACACAGGACCGATGCACCGAGACTTTACCCGGCAACGGGCCTCGAAGACTTGATGAACAACTTGCGACTGGGTTGCGATGAAAGTGGTTACGACTCCGACAGCACTCGCGCCGGAGCAGATTCACCGGACAGCGGAAAGTCCGTGCCGCCAATGTTAAAGCCTCGTAGTTTCTCCATCACATCCGACGATTATCATGGGATTGATTTGTCGTTACCCATCGCTACTCCCAACAATCAGGACACGGCTACGGAAAGCAACGAAACCGAGCCAGGAGCTTCCTGCCTCGATGAGACTATCGTCTTTGAAAACAGTCTGCTGAACGAATCGGTCAGAACAGACACGACCGTATTGATTTCCGAAGGAGAGGACACGGACAGCTGCGACGAGGACACTTTCGAAGGGTTCACAGAATTTCAAATGAAACGTGCTGCGGAATATTCGAAATTTGACAGCTCACTGCTGAAATGCGGCATGGACCTATCGAAAGCATCCACGATAGGATCATCGACGAGTGAGAATGTTGACAAATCGAAACCGTTCGCGTCTGGAAAGAAGAAACTCTCTGGAGCGCCGGAAAACGTGTCGTTCGCGAAGCCGGAACAGTCGGCCTCGCAGACGGCGAAGACGCAGAATCTGCAGAAGGAAGCGAGGCCCCAGATACCATTCAAGTCCCGAAAGTACACGAACTGTAGCACACTGAATCTACTGGAGAACGCCGCTTCCCCGTGCAAGGACAGCCCACCCGCATCGAAGGTTCACGCAACAGTGATCGGCAGCCCCCTACAGTATTACAGTCCGAAGAGGTCTCGGTCGAACATGGACCCGGAGGATGTAGCGAACGTCGGGAATAAGGCGAAGAAAGCTGCGCAGTTGACGAAAACGAAACAAGCTACGTCGTCCTCTGCCACGCCGGCCAAGACTCTGATCCGGCGAGAACTGAAAACGATGAAACTGTCCGTTGAGAAACCGGGAAGTCTCGGCATATCCGTGGAGAGGCGGGAAGCTGCGAGACCTTTCTACGTGATCTCGAGGATGGACACGAACGGGGAAGCAGCGAAATCGAAGCAGTTCAGGATCGGGGACGAGATCGTGCGTGTTTGTGGACGTAGACTGCGCGGAATGTCGATAGTGGAAGCCAGAAACGCGCTACGAAGCTGCACAGGTATCGTAGAACTGCAGATCGCGAGGGAACCGACGTTTACGTTTGGGGAAGAATTGGGCGACACGTGGGGCGACATTTTGCTCCGCACTCGAAGCGACTCGGAAGTGTGGGCGTTCAAGGAGGACAAGAGGGAGGAAATTGCCGCGTCCGTCGACGCGACGTCGCGACAGGAAGGCTCGTCCAAGTGCACGATTCTCGAGGCGCTGTCCAAGGACGAGATCGATTTGTCGGCGAGCGCAATCGAGAGGATCGAAACCGACGGTGAACTGAAACGGGACTCGGACCAGAAAATGACTGGTATGAGGAAATTCCAAGTGGTGCGGAAACGCGGAATCAATCCGGTTGCGTGTCCGAGAAGGGCGACTAGTCTTTCGATGGACTTGCTGACCATTACGTTGGAGAAAGGCGCTGCTAAGAAATTGGGGTTCTCTATCGTCGGAGGATCGGACAGTAACAAAGGATCCATGGGTATTTTTGTCAAGGACATTCTGGCCGGCGGCCAAGCGGCCGAAGAAGGCACACTTAAAGTCGGAGACGAGATTTTGGCAATCAATGGAATATCCATGGATGGACTGACGCACGCGAAAGCTTTGCAAACCTTCAAAGCTGCGAAGCCTGGGAAAATGATTCTCCACGTGGGCCGGCGAGACCCCACGCACAAACGGTTGTGTTACAGGCGATAATATTAATGGTTCTAATACTGGGTTAGTTTGGTGCTTTGCTTTATTAGCAAATTCTTGAATAGCTTTATTCGAATTGTATTCATTGGTCGACGTGTCAGCTGAAATTTCCATGCACAGTTCCTATTTTTCCACGCATGTTACTTGTCGACTAAAGTTTTCGGTTGGCACGACACCCTTGATAGAGCTTTGCTTTCGCAGCGGTCGAGATGCGATTAGCTGCTGGAGTTTATGAAAGGGGTAGAAGGTGTTGGAATATGAAAAGTTTCTTCACATTATTTACCGATGATTCTTAAATACATGGTGTAACTATGGACAATTGCGGAAAAGGGCATATTCTTCGACACCGATACTAAAGCCTCCTCTTGAGCTGTCGTTTATTAACTAACGTTCATTCTTCTACTAAATACTGGATTCGAAGGTGCAATATTTTAATGTTAACATTCTGATTGTTACAGATACATCATTCAGTCGAAATCTTACGATTATTTAGACAAGCTAACGGAGACCGGGGACGAATAAAAACTGAGCCGAATCGGACAATCGAGTTTACCAGTCATTAAGAGCTCCACTGCCTATATCGTGTTCTGAAAGGTTAGAAAAGTCGCGTCAGGTTCCGTCAAAGATATTACCTTTTCATCTTCGCGAAGAAAATGGTGTTATTTGCATACTTTCGCGTGTACGTCAGACTACGTTTGCTTTTCCGTCGATTAAACGCGTTTCCCGTCTTATAACAAGTAAATAGTCTGACGCGCAACTCTCTAGAAATTATGTTATACATCTCAGCCTACGCTTATAACAATTGTACATCTTAAGACGGTAATTGTGATATCGTTCAACTATATTTTCAACAAAAGTGAAACCAACGACGCGAATATATCTTCAGTTTCCACTTGACATTGACGAGATTTAATCATTTGTTGGGCAGCGTGAAAGGTTCTACTTAAACACTGACATTTGTTACATTTTCATTTCACTGATTGCAATTCATATATACATATATATATATATATATTATATATATATATATATTAAACCATGTAAAAGTGTCATAGTGGAGTATTTCTATAATAGTTTACACGTGAAAAGACTCATTTGGTTCAATGGTTTAATTGATCGTTACTGCAATACCTCTGAAGAAAATTGCACATAGCCATATCCCGTTAGATGTATAACGCTAACATGTTGGCTCATGGCTCCCTAATTCGTGTAGCGCGAATTTAACGTATGTTTTGTTTCAAAACATATTCTCTTTGTTTAATATGCGTTACACAACGGAACACGACACGAAGACATTTAACTGGGTCGAGTACTCAACATTTACTCACTATTCAATTAGATGTAAGCACGATATTTAGTTGATTTATAATTTTTCGTTTAAGCTACCGAGACTGACATTTCGAAATGTCTACCTGAGAAATGCTGTGATACTTATTGTAGTCGCATTAGCTGGTATCGTACAAACTGTATTTAAAATAAAATTGGTTTTGTTAATAAATGTATTCATACGGTTCATTTGCTTTCTCTGTCAAGACTCCAACTAATATCAAGTACATTTATGTTTAGTTTGCTCGAAGAATTTGCAGAAAACGAGAATCTACATAGAAGAATTTACATTTGACATGAATAAATTGTAAAATTACAATGATTCTGAATAACAGAATTAGTGAGCAGAGTTGACTAAAAACTAAACGGTTATTTCTAAGTAATAGTTTTATTTGTTACAGTATTTTAAGCATGTCGTACGTACGGAACATGTTAAATATTATTATCACGATATCGTTCTACGGGGGAAGATACATCACATTTTCTTGTCGTCCAACAGAAGCTGCATTGTTTGAAGGATACTTAGAACTAAGGAAGTTTGAAGGATAATTTGATTTCGGATAATCAGGCTGGGATTGTGGTGCAGGGTAACTTGGGTTAGAAGTTGAAGTAGGGAAGCTCGATTGAGGCATAGGATAATTCGCGTTAGCTTTCGGTGGGAGATTACTTTGCTGAGAAGACGGATACGAGGGCTGACGAGGCAAGGAAGGGAAACTTGGTTTCGAAGCTGGCGAAGGATAACTCGGCTGAGCAATTGCTGAAGGATAACTAGGTTGTGGTTTCGGATAGGTGGGTCGTTGCGGAGGACCATAAACCGATGTAGGAGGTTGCGAAGGATACGATTGTTGAGAGGCTGGAGATGGATAGCTTGGATTGGGAACCGGCGGCAGATAAGAACTTTGAGGAGGTGGAGATGCGTTTGGTTTC